TGGCATATTTAATTCCAGGTTGTCTTGAATTTATGAATGCATGGGTAAGTGTTTGTGTTTGTGTTTGGAAAACGTGGGGTGGCTGCATCCAACAACAAAGATTGAACGTAACATAGCGATGGGTCACTTCTAGTTTTCTCGATTTAGAGCTATATATTAGTTTTGTACAGAATTTTTTTTTTTTTTCCGATTCGTTCATGGAGTATTTACCGTCGATAACAGTGACTAATTTTCTCGCTACGTTGGAGGTACCTCAAAGGGTGAGATAGCTGGCCCCAAGATTTAACGCGGTTGCATACACAAGGCAGGATTTGAACCCCTGACCTTGCTTAAGGGTAGATCAACCCCTACCACTAAATCACACGTAGAATTTTAATTTGCGGCAGTGCCCAACGGTGTCCATGTTACATAATGATGCCATTTAATTTAATGCAATTCAATTCTAGCTATGGCCGAACTATTAGATATGCAAGTTTATCAAGCTTTTTCCAATTTTGGTTTCGTATACTATTCTTTTCAACTGATTCTTTGTCATTTCTGCATCTTCATAATGGAAACACAAACACAAACATACTAAACTTAAGAACCTAACCTTATTATGAATATATTTCCATTTTTAAATATTTAAATTATTATAACTTGTGATTTATAATTTAAATTAAGCTATGATTTATGATAAGGTTTTATTATCTGAAACATTAAAATAATTTCATCTCCCAGTTGTTTCGCCATAAAGCATTTCGAAAACTAATTTTGGGTTTACAAAAGAAAAACCGGTGAAGAGAAAATAATTGCGCCGGACAAATGTTTGTATAGTTGTCATTTGCATTGGGCCATTTTTCTTGTTGGTGGACACAAAATAAAACATTTAACAAATGTTTTTTTATGACAAAAAGACAAAAAGTTTTGGTCTCACAAAAATCCTCAGCCTTTAAGTTTTAACTTGGGCCAGCACCTTCTTCCTTCCCCTGCCCCCTCAAAAAAAAAGAAAAAATCTATCACTTACCAGAAAGATATCGAAAATAGTACAGTAGTACTTTTCTATGTTTTGATATAAAAAAAAAGTATAATACTTTTCAATATTTTGTTTTGATTTAATTTGAACTTGTGTGTCAATTGTTGTTTTTGTTTCAACTATGAATTTTATATTATTACGCTTACAGAAAATTTTCTTGATGATGTACTACAACTAATTGTCAAGCGATTAAGCAAAGGACATTCAAAGCCAAGGATTTTTGGAAATAAAATAAAATGCATTGATAAAATGACAACTAATGAGTGAACGTGTTTCAGTGTTTGTTATGAAAAAAATATCTTGATAAGAGACTTGAATTCAAAAGAAAGAAAGCAGCTTAAAGAATACCTTTTAAATTACGTCTTTTGGGGAGTAGAAAAGAAAATTATAATATGCTATATGTCATGTAAAACTGAAATATCTTATAATATAATGGCGTATTACTAAAAATGGTTTTTATTAATTAATTGTTAAGATCATCAAACTATAGGAAACAATATAAGTTATAATTATTAACGAATGTTTAACTCAGGTACTATATGTTTAATTTTTGTTAAGTGTTGGGTTTGATCTTATAAATTGAAACTTTCTCATTTAAATTCAATGAGCTAACACTATCTTGGCATAGACTATATATATATAATTGTATTATTGATTAAAAAAAATATTTATAAATCACGTCGATGAGTAATTTTTATTAAAAAATTTTACTTACTATCTTTAATAAGTTTACCCTTCCAATCATAGACATTTATAGTTCAAATAGAAATATTTTGTATGACAAATACATGTGATTTTTAGAAGAATAAAAAAATTCAAGTCAATCTTAATTAATACCTTCACTTAGTAGTATCAACATTGATGTTCTTTAATATATACTAAGTTTTCTGTTTATCTATTCTTTTTATGTGCCTGTTTGGAGTCAAACAAACAATGTGAATCAACATTCTCTTTCGACATCTAGCAGCATAGAGTAAATTTCTTATCAATTGATATGATTATAGTTTAAATATATATTCTAGCGGATGTGCATCCAATCATGTCCTAGATGATTTGTTCAGTTTAGAATCGTTTTTCTCGAGATATTAGAATTATATGTAACAATAAATTACGAGAACGTACAATAACAAAAATTAACAGTTGATCGATTATCCATCTGTGGTGGCCAGTGAATAGTGACGATGAAATAAATAATACTACAGAACCAAACAACGCGTACAAATAGATGGAGAAATTTCACCTTCTACCTCTCTTCTACATTGATTGCTCAGTTTTGTATTTTTTTTTCTTTTTAGATATTGTAATTGTGTGTACCAACAAAACAACTCACAGAAAAAAGCACAAAAATTAGCAATTAATTTAATTGATTAATCATTTGTAGTGGCCAATGAATTATAATGATGAAATAACACGGAACAAAAAGTTGGAGAAATTGGCACTTTCTTTAAGTCCACAAAAATCCAAGAAAAAAAAATTAAAACATTTAATCAATAATTAATATTGAGTCGTTGAAGGAGATAGATTTTCCACAGGTTGGATAATTGGTTTAGAAATTGTGGAGTGTGCATAGTGATTAGTGAACACCATTACTTTGCTTCCGTTGCGTTTGGCTCCAGAAATTAATAGCAAAAAATAGGGATCGGTGTACCTACTACTAGTCCTCTATCGTTTGTAGTAGGAGTGGTTACCATAAATTAAAATAAATCATTAAACCATTCAACATAAAAAATTAAAAAATCAACTTAATAAATTGAAATAAATTAGTTAAATTGAGGCAGTTTAATGATTATTAATTTGATTTGACCCGAACGTGTGTTTTAATTGATTTAATTTATAAAATTAAAATACATTTACTTGAAAATAATTTAATCAACTTTTATGTTTCAATATAATGTCCTGTAATAAAAAAAAATTCAAATCACTTTTTTTTAAACAAAATTAGTATTGTGTTTGATTTTGAAGGAAAAAAAACGACATACAATATTTTTTAAAGGTGTAAGTGGATACGAGTAATCAACGATCCTAAATTGACCTAATCCAATTCAATAAGTTTAGATTGGATTTTTTTGGTGTTTGAATCAGACTAAATTTAATCCGATCAAAATTCGATACTGTATGAGTCAAGTAATGAGTTTTGTGTTTTCAACACGGTCATATATAATAATAATAATAATAATAATAATAATAATAATAATATTTGAATGATCATTTATTCAAGACAATATTCACTATCATCACTCTTACTGAGTAACAAGTTTTGTATTTTAGGTTGATAATATATTAACAATATAATATATTATTTTAAATTTTATTTTGTATAAATTAATATTCATTTTTTGAGTTAATAATAATGTAACAAGTTAATAAATTTATTTTAGAATTTAATTTGTATCATTGTTTGTTTTGTAAGTTGATAACATTGAATTTGTAATAAGGTATCAAATGATTTACATCTATTTTAAAATATTTAAATTTTTACAAAAATAAATAAATATAATTATATTGACCCGATTAATTCAACCAAATTCAACCCTTTTGTAATTGGGTTGGGTTGGATTTTTAAAAAAATTACACAAAACCGACTCAATCTAACCCGTTAAAATTTTGATTGGATTGGATAGTAGGTTTATCCAAATTCGACCCAACCCAACTCCCTTACACCCCTAATATTTTTAAGTTATTTCATATAAAAATTTATAGTTTGTTTAACTTATTAATGCATATTTTACAAATTTTTCACATTTTTTTAAAATCATTTTTAAAAGAATTTATAAATTAAAAAAGCTCATGAAAACATAAGATTGTAACTATTTAGTGACAATATTATGAGTGTTCATGTGGTGGATGAAGTTGGAATGAGACTATTTACATTCTAATTAGACCCAAAAATTGATAGGAACAACTTGAATTTAAAACTAACCTGATTAAGACTCAACAGCTAGCATATAGTAAGATCAATTTAATTTATTGACATGGTATATGAATTATAATATTATATAGTTAAGCAGCACTTATGCAGTTAAGTTATATAATTAAATTTAACATTAACATAAATTTGTAGCATTTATGTATGAGTATTAGTCTCATAAAATCTTTAGATTGGTCAGTAAATATCATTACAGATAATCATTCATTTCCAAATTAGTTGATAACATTAAATTATATCTTAAATTTATTTATATTTTTAAAAATATCCTTAACAATAATATTGAGACCTTTATTCTATAAGTTACTCGTTGAATTAGGAGAAAAAAAACTTCATTAAAGGTATTTATATATATATATATATATATATATAAAGTTAATGCAAGATAAATTTTAGAGATTTTGTTAAAATGACTAAGCAGCAAGATTTTTTTTTTTTGTTGATAATTATCTTAAACTTAGTTTTGAACTTATATAAATGTTTTGCTGTCATGGTTCATTGTTAAAATGAAAACAATTTTGTTTCATTTTCTTTTAATAAAGATGCTGATATTATATATATAAACAGCAATACAATGTGGAATATGTTACTAAATCGTTAGATTAGCATTTGAATAAACTATTCATATGAGTATGAGCATAACTTGTGTTTTTAACATACTTTCTAGCATACTTAACACACAAATTTAGATATCTAGAAAGGATGTTTCGGCATTCATGAAGAATAACTCCCAATTTAGAATTATCTGAAAAATTGGACTGAATTTTATCAACTGCCTCCCTGCAATCCATTTCAAACATGACATAAGGCATATCAAAATCAATCACCCATTTTTAGGCTTGAAGTAGTCCCAATCCAAAAGTTTTTCCTTCAATCGTCACTATGCAAAGATTTATCCAAGATGTTCTAGCTATCATGAATTCACCTTGATCATCTCTCACACATATACACCCAGCGGAATAAAAGTAGTCATCTACCTTGATCATCTCTCTAACACACACACTTGTTTTTTTATGTTTAAAATTCCAAATTTATTTATAAGAGTGCAAAAGCATTTTATAATGCACTGTAATTGTATATCATATTTTTCATTTCTTTACACCGCTTTATTTTACAACATTATTAAAATATATAAGTGAGAGTTTTAAATTATGTGATATACTCTATGTAATCAATGGCAGGTTCGGAATTTAGAATAAAAAAAATAACAACATTCTGCAATAGTGCAGACATATCTAGGATCCCAGGTACCATACGCACGGTGTCTCTGTACAGTGTACACAAAATCCTATACAGTATCGTATCGTGTCCTCATCTGGGCCACTTTCTTGTCTTTACCGTTAACCAAAAACCCAATAAAGAAACAACCGGTGGGCCCATCATGTTTTTCAAGTCATTTTGCTACGATTGGAGGAGGAGAAGGACCACGCCACGAAACGCTACGCGATTCTCCACTCCCACACAAAATCTCGCCAAGGTAATGCTCCATATCTTCGCTCCAAAACCCCGATACCGTTTCCGACCCGACCCGATACTTCCCGCACATCTCCTTGTAACGTGCCACCAGCTTCAAACCTATCGACGCTTTTATTTCCTCTCGCAGATTCGGGTCGGGTACGACCCACGTGGATTGTACCCTACACGCTTCATGGAACGCCGCGTTGAAACTCTCGAAGATTCCTCTGGCTTCCTCCGGCGTTGGATTTTCCGGCAGCAACGGGAAAGCCTTGCTCCATCCCACGCGCTCGTACTTGGAAACGTACTCTTTCACCTTCGCTTCGTGCTTCGTCAACCACTCTTCCCCGAGGATGAACCCTAGGTTCGATTTGCGGACCTTTACGACGACGTATTGCATGTTATTCGCCAGGAACAGGTAAGAGAGCGCAACGTCCTTGTAGAGCTCCGCTTTGCCGTCGAGCTTGCAGAGGACCACCAGAATCAGCCACGCGATCCGTTCCGCTATCTCCGACGACCGATTCTTCTCCTCGCGATCAGGACTGCGGTAGTAAGACTCCGGCAGTGGATTTTGCGGCCAACCGGCGACGATATCCGCCAGCGCGTCGCGGTAATCGGCGAGGAACGCGATGTAGTTCATGACGTAGCGCGTGAGCGGGTGGATCCCGCCGCCAGGGACTGGAATCCTGGAGGATTCCTTCTGAATCGCGGATTCGAAGTCCGTCAGCATCGTCCGAACGGCCTCGCCGAGTTTCACCAGAGAAGCGGTGGCCTGAGACCGGACGGAGGAGGTTGGTTCCGACGAGAAGATGGACGCGATTTGGTTCCAGTTTTCTGACATGGCTTCGTACATGTCCAGCGTCCTGAACATTTTCTCAGGCGTTTTCTTGCACCTCGCCACGTTCTCCGGAAATCCGAAGAGCGACGCGGCGCCTTCTCTGCAAACCGCGGCGAAACATGACTCGGCGATCATCCTCTCCGGCGAACCGAAAACATAATCGCAGAGCGTTTTCTCGGCGTGAAACAGAGTGCGGACGGCGATTTTGACAGCGTTGAGCCAGCACTTAATCTTGGAGTGGAGCGTCTCCCAGTCCATCTTCTGAACCTGAGAGAAGCTCAGCCTCTCCACTCCGAGATGATACAGCGCCTCATCCACGACCGATTTTCTCATCAGAATGTAAACCTTGACGCACTCTTTTCTGTAGCCAGCGGAGACCATGCACTCCGCAATGGCTTTCAAGTCCGCCATGGCGACCGTGGAGACAGAGTCTCCGGCGAAGCGGAAATCGTCCTCGGAGAAGTCGTCGTCGTCGTCGGAGACGCTGCTGCTCCGGCGGTCGGTGGAGGCGACGGATTCGGGATCCAAATTGTCCCTGTTTTGGGTTAATATTCGGTAGAACTCCATCTGGAGTCTGTTCATGGCGAGTTGCATTAGGGATTGGGCTTGGATGAGGCTGAGGGAGGAGGAATCCCGTGCGACGAGGTACTGCATAGTGGTTTGCAGGCTCACGACGGCGTCAAGGTACTGTTTGGCTTCTTGGCGCGTGTTCCTGAAAAGAGGAGCGGAAGCGGAATTATTTGGATCCCATTTGGAGATTAGGGAACGAGCGGTTTCGATGTTTTCGTCCATTAATGAGTCTGAGAAGGTCCTCGAGGGAGGTGGCAACGGTGTCGTTTTGGAGAAGAAGATGTTTCTGAGTCCCATTTTCGGCATTTTAGTTTGAAAAAAACGGCCACTCAGTGTGAGTTTCAGTTCCTTTTGGGTGTATTTATAGATGCGTTTAAGATTCCATTCATTGACCCTCTGACAATATGGCAATTAATGTGCAAACGCGGTAGAAGAATAAAATGTGAACCTAGTTTTTGTTTTTTCCTTATGAATTTTACGGCTAGGTTTAACAGAATGAGTGAACTGGGAGGGAAGAATCTTTCTTAAACACGTACAGTTCACAACTTGCTTTCAAATTGTGTTTCTAAAGCGTGTCATCAATTATGGGAAATATGATCTTGGGTTCTTTTATCGTACTCAAATGATTTTTCTCGAACCACTGTTTCTCTTTTCTAAATCCCTTTTTTAGTTTATTTTCGAAAACAGTATCTGAATCAAATGATTTTATTTAAATTCTTTAACAAAAATAGATACTTATAGTAATTATCCTTTAACTTATATCAAAAGGAGTATTATAGTATTTTGGAAAAATTTGTAAAAATTAAATTATAATTATCAGAGTTGAGTATTAATTGTTTAATCTTTAAATTTAAAATAATTTTTAATGATGTTATTGAATAAATAGCATCAACAGTAATAAAAGGTGTGGAACAAATCAAATGATCTTATTTAACTAGAGTTATATATTCAAATCGTGAATAATCAATTTTATCCGGACTCACAAAAATAATGAAATGCACATCTACCCAAAGTATGTAGGCAACACCATATGACAACAAGAAAGTTTGAAGAAAAAAAAGTGTTATGTACCCAAAACGGGCCGTTCCAAACTCGGAACGGGCTGTTCCAAATTTGGAACAGGCTGTTCCAAGTCAGTTAAAAGACCTACAACCCTAATCAGGAGCAGGGCATTTCGATCTTAGAACGGGCAGTTATTAATTTAGAACGGGCGTTCCAATATTGGAACGGGCCGTTCTAAGTGACTGAAAGGATCTAAAATTCCTTAAGCGGAACGGGCCGTTCCAAATTTCAGAACGGCCCGTTGCACGCTTAGAACGGGACGTTCTGAATTTAGAACGGGCCGTTCCAGAGTCACATTTTGCTTGTAACGGTATGATCCAGAACGGGCCGTTCCGATTTCGGAACGGGTCGTTCTGGTCAAGTCTGATGTCTATAAATAGACGCGTTGGGCACAGTTTTCAGGACCGGGAAAAATTTCGTCCAGTACACTTTAGAGCTCGAATTTTTTTTTTATTTGTACCCTCATTCAAGTTCAACCTTTTATCTGTGCCAAAACTCACCCAGACTACTAATTGTTCTGTTTTTTTTTATCCTGATCATTGTGTATTTCAGGACCATTTGACGAAGAAGGAGATTGGTCGGGGCCATAAAAAGGGTGGACTTTACTTCCTTGATGTCTCTACCTTTGTTGCCACCATCATCACTACCTCATCCACCACTTGGCATGCTAGGTTTGGTCATCCATCATCAAGTGCCCTCAAGTGTTTAGCTCCTGTTCTTGGTTTCAATAAAGACTCTTGTGACCATTGTGAAGTCTGTCATTTGTCAAAACAAACAAGACTCCCTTTTCATTAAAAGATGATACTCATTCATTATTGAATTACTTGTACTAATTAGTACATGTGTCATGGATATAACACTAAGCATATTCAAGTGAAATTTCATGTCACACTTGAGGCTGTCAAAAAATCATGAGATCAAGTTAATTCATTGTTGTTCTAATCATCAACTTGCTAATATATATATTAACTAAAACTCTTTTGTAAATAATATTTGAAAGACTTAGAGAATTGCTTGGAGTCTCCATAAAAAATTTCAAGAAGTGTTGAAGACTTGAAGTTGCTAAAATTTTTAATGTAAACCTATATTTTATAATGTGTATTTTACTTTTATGTTTTATAATGTAGTTGATGTGTCTGTCAGGCTAGAGTACAAGACTCATGCCTTTTGAAGTATGTTTAGCTTTTTAATGATATTGGGTAGGTTAGGCATACCTGTTAGGTAGCAGAAAAAGTATTACTGTGTTTATCTATTTCTATCATTAATAATATTTTTTTCACAATAAATAAAGTGATAGAAAAAATAAATAAAATCAAATAAAAGTAATATTATCAACAATTTTTATTGTAATTAAATAAACCCAGTATAGTTATTAGTACTTAGTAGTGAACCAAAAAGGCTGCACTTATTATATATAACTAATTGAACTTCATGGATTGCAGTGTCACTTATTATATATAACATATTGATGATGATTAATTGCATGTACTACCCACTAAGATTATTTTTCATATCATTGGCTTACTTAATTCTGTGTTTTGGAAGGAACCCATGATGTCAGAATCAGAATGAAGGCTGTTGGTATCTGTGGGAGTGATGTTCACTACCTCAAGGTAAATATTAGTTATAGAATGACTTAAGAGATGTTCGATATTTTTTCAGTTATTTGTTATGATGTTTATTATATGTCTTACAATTTATTCAATTCTTAAGGTTGGGCCTCCTGAAATATGGAATCAAATCAAAATATGGGGAGGAGAGGAGGGAGTCATGTAAGCATCATCCATTGCCATGGAGCACTGGCTTGAAAATCTCACGTGTCGTTAACATGTTTTCACAAAATTGGATGGAGTTTGATGATTTCGCAAATGTTAACATTTGTAAACACAACGACTCATTTGTCACAATAAAGATAGCATACCAAATTGAAATCCAACAGTAACATGTGAGAAGTGAAGTTGAATAATTTTGGACTAATTACACCAAAATTGTTCCTAAATTTGAAAGACTCAATTATATTGGTTCTTGAAACTAAAAAAATGTAAAATACGTCTTTGAGAGTACATGTTCACAATTATATTAGTCCAAAACATGAAAAAATATGTAACCCCATAATGATAATATTTACAAATATTTAAGAATTAAAATGATAGTAAATAGTTAAATTTAAAAACTTATTGATGAGGTTCTACTTGAAGAATCCTCAAGAATGCCTTCAAATTCTTCTCGGATCCTTGAAAGAGTTGCAAGGAATAGGAGCTTCCAAGAAGAACAATGTGACCAAGCCTTGACTAAGCTAAGTCCGGATAGAAGTATGGCAACCTAGCTTTACAAAGAGAGGAGCTCAAGTAAGGTAGAGGTAGGTTGAGAGAGACTTTCGGAGGGAGAGAGTTCAAATGAAGAAATCTCATTTAATTATATCCAAAAGTGTTACAAAACTCGGTCAAAGAAAGATTTATAGGCAAAATTAGGTTAAGGGTTTAAGTTGGGTTAACCTAGAGTTAAGTAAAACCATGGTTTGGTTTACTTAATTCTAGGCGCCAAAATTTGAATTCAAAAATTCAAATTTTGGTGCCAACCAGTCACCTCCTCCATGTGCAGTCATTTGGATGTGATTTAGTATCTATTTGAGTTGCATTTCGGTCACACCATGTGCATGTGTGCACATGGCTGAAATACACTTCAAATGACATACTAATTACATTCAAATGAAGATGTACATGTTAACCTAAATTAACCCTAAATCTAAATGAATCATGAAATGAAATCCTAGTCTAAATGGCCGAAATACAAGGCCTAAACATGAAATACAAGCCTTAATGCCCAAACCTACACTACTCCTACTTTACTTGGGCTTGAACTAAAGCCCAACTGAAAAGTGTGATGGGCTTTTCTTGATCATGAATCCACTCTTCTTGAATCCTTTTTGCCATAGTCCTAGTAGTTGGGCCCTTGGCCCATGAGTCTCCTTCATCATCTATTTAACATTCTAAAGACTTATTTAACAACTTCTTAGCTTCAGGGACTATATGACAACCTTTTAAAATCGAGGGCAAAAATGAGTGTTTACTTAATATTTTTATACTAATTAATTAATCAATTAGGCATTTAATGGACATGTTAGTAACAAAATTGGATGGAGTTTGAAGATTTTGCAATCATTGTTAACGTTTGTAAACGGGCTTATTTGTCGCAAAATAAAATAAGAGATCAAATTGAAATCCAAAAATAACATACCAAAGGAATAAATTTTCCCAAATAGTACATCAATCTTTGACTAGCATTTTGCATTTCAGGCTTGCCTATCGAGAAAAGACATGTATCAACAGGACATAATTTATATCAATATTATTAACATAAGTAATAACGACTTGTATTTTTTAATTAAGTTATTTAGAATTCAAATCTTGACTTTAGATATAAAATAAATTATGTTGGAAAGAGAATATTTATCTTATGTATATTCACAATCTCTAACAAGAATTAATTATTGTTTCCAACCGTGAATACTTAGTACAAATAGTATGGTTACAAAAAAAAATGTAACTTAACCTATTTTCTCAATACTACCAAAGTTTAAGGTGAGGCAAAGTTCGTGCCACATGTGTATGTATGTTTTTTTTATTAATAAGAATTATAATGATGAAAATATATGTATGAATATGTTTGGCATCAGGTTATTTAACTATATTAAGATCTAACATTACAAGAATGTGGTGGATCAAACGTTTGCCTAAAATTAATCTTGAATTTTTAAATGTGATGAGAATATGTACCCAAATTAATATCACACACATTTTCTAATGAAATTTGCAACGTGAACATATATAAGTTCGTGAAAAATAGAAGTTCAATGGTGGCCATAAAGAACCAACAAATGTTGGCCACGGTGGTCCCATTATAATAAAATGGATTTTTAGTGACATTTAATATAATTTTTAGTGGCAATAAAAATTGCTACAAAATCTTTTACCGGCATTTTACACATTAGTTATTATATGCAATGTCGCTAAAATATTTACTGGCAATTATTCTATATGCTAGTAAAGACTCTCATAATGGTCGGGAAAAATGTATAACTTTTTGTGTCATTTGTTACGCATTTAAAATTGTCGCTAAAAATTTAAGAACAGATTTATAATACTATTTAATTATCTTATTTCTAGTCGTAATATATATAATTTTTTTTGTTGAAAACTGAACTTAGTGGGAAAAAATTTACGGCAGTCACAAATCTTATTCAACTAAATAAGTTAGATTTCATAAATTATATTTATAATTCAGATAAGGCGACACTTTTATTCACTTAAATAAGTTACGTTTCATAAATTATGTTTCATAAATTATCTATATTACATTTACTAGCGTATAAAAGGTAT